AGTTATAGTGGGTGGACGTCAATGTAAAAGTATAATAAAGGGAGACCAAGACCATCACACTCACATATTTTATGAAACGAATCCAATGCCATCATATGCAATAATCATTATGGCGGGTTCACTAAAGTCATCAAAGCATATTTACTTCATCACTTTGTGGGCTGAGGAGAAACATTTTATGCAAAGTAAGAAAGTATTGAAATTTTGTAAACATGCCATCAACATTACTAATGAGCTATGTGGTTTTCCTATTCAAGGTAAATTATTATTATAATATCGGTATAACTAAAATTAACACTCATAACTAAAAGTAACACTTAACAGTTATAACTAAAAGTAACACTTAACAAAATATTGGCATATTAGAGATAACATTTAATTGTAAGATGTTCGTTTGATATTAATATTAATGCCAACATGATGTGGATATAATCTTCCACATTAGCAGTGTTGATACAACACCAAGGAATATAAATCTACACCATGTTAATATTAATATTATAAAGTGATCACTAATTTTTACCGTGTTGGTGTTAATATTGTATGAATACACTACTCAACAAAGTTAAAGCATTATCTGTTTTACCCTGCAAAAATTTTCAAACTTTGAGATAGAACAACTTCGTAAAAAATTATTGTATCGAGATGTTAAAAAAAGCATTTTAAAGCTTGAAATCTGTATCCTTCCAGAACAATTATTTAACAAACTGTCTTACCGACATTTTATTAAGTTACACAAACAGAAATGAATATGTCTCATATCTTAAGATTTTATACGAAATTTGTAAGGTTGCGTGGCGCGAATTAAAAATTCTGTAAAAATGCAGTTTAGAGCTATCGAAAGATTTAAATTTTACCTTTGATTTATTTTTTTTGTAATCGTTGTACAATATTCTTTTTACCGAGTTATTCGATGTTGAAGCAAAAAAATTATTTTTACTTCAACATTGAATAACTCAGTGGTAAAGATCACAAAAAAGCAAGTTAAATGTAAAGATTCTGCCTTTCGAAAGATATGAACTGCACTTCTACACAATTGTTAGTTCATGCCGTGGAACTTCTTAAATATCGTAAAAAATTTATAGGTTTGACGCATTTATGTTTATGTAACTTCACGAAATTTCAGTAACACCGTCCTTTAAAGTACAGGTCTGAAAAGTAAAGATTTCAAGCATTAAAATGTTTTTTAAATATTAAAAATATGATACGATGATTTTTGATGAAGTTATTTTTACACAAAATTTACCTATTTTTGAAGGTTAGAATACGTAACGTTTTAATTTTGTTGAGTAGTGTAATATTAAATCTATCCGAAATTTTCAAAATTTGTTAAATTATTTCAAGTTATTTGTAAAACAAATTCGTTAATTATCAGTCCTGTATTCTTAATCTTATTATTAATAAATGTATATTAAAAATGATAATTGTAGATGAATTCAATATATGTGTGCTTCCATCAAATATCCCAGAAATTGAACTACAATGTCGTACCATGATATTTGTGTCATCAACATTACTAGATGAAGATCCCATTTTCATGTGTGATACGATTGCTCGAAAAATTGCCCAAAGCTGGGCAGGAGGTTTAGTCACTTGTAGAAATTTCCAACATTTGTGGTTGATTAAAAGTTTTAGTATATTCATTTCTAGTAAAATCTTGGAATTTAGGTATCGTCCTATGATTCAAATGATGTTCATGCGAAAAAGAATCTTTTATGATCTTAATGTTAAGGTAAATTACAATAATTTTATTTAGATGAAAAATGTTGAAATAAAAACCATATGTTGAATAGATTGATTGATAATAACAATTTACATTCTTACAAGTTTATAGGATTACGGACTTTATAAGTAAATTAATATATAATTTGCACTTACACATATATGCATTTGTACTGCTACATTCAATTCTCCATTTCTACTTCATTATTTTTTATTCTGTGTGCGCTAACATTACAGATGAGACTATATGGTATTGATTCTCAACAGAAATTAGTACCTTCTTTGACAGATATTTTGCCAAAGAACATTACAAAGTCCGTACCTGATGAAGTTGGATATTATCTATTGGATTCCTTACAAAAGGACTTAGGAGGATCAACAGTGTTTGCACAATATCTTAAGCATTATATGCGAACATTTTGTTATCAAAGTATAGACACTATTGATTGGAAGGATCATCTGTTTTCTTATTTTGATAGCAAACATGAGGTAACATCTTTTCGTGTAAAGAAAAAATAATGAAAATCTTTCAGTAACTTTTATTCATTAAATTAATGAACAATAATTTTTTATATTTTTTAGATATTAATGTCTAGATTGGATAAGTGGCTTTACAAATTGAATTTAGTTTCTATGTATGACGATCTGTATGATTCAGTGCGGAATCTAAGTGAGATATTAACACAACAGTGGATTACGACAAATACGACTGACAAATTATCTTCCAAGTTGACTAGAAGATTATTACATCCTAATATTAATAAAATGCATTTCTTAAATTACTTATATACATCGCCGATAACTTTACCGATTGGAAAATTAGAGTCGATACACTCTATATTTCCACTTGATGAGCAAACATGTCAAATTCGGTAAACACGATAATCTATATTTAGACTGATATGCAATTAGGCCACATGTATATTTCACACGTATTTTGTAGGTTCCTCTTGCTACGTTTGTACATAAAAAATAAATGGGAAGTAATGGTTGACCCTGCTTTGAAATTTGCCCGCGAATATTGTGCGTCAAC